CCCACCCTCGCGAACTTTCATCATATAATGCATAAATTAACTCTCCTGTTCTACCTTGCAATCTGTCTCTAGCAAATCCTTGTTTACAATATATATAACATATAGTTACTCATTTAACACTGGATAATTCGTCTCCTAACATCCTGGAGAGAATAAAGGACGCATTGGATACAGAACTCCGACCAGAACAAGCTGGATTCAGGAAAGGCAAATCATGTTCTGACCAAATTGCAGCTCTACGCATCATCATCACAGAACAAAGTATGGAATGGCAATCAAACCTAACTCTACCTCAACTTTATAGACTTTGAGAAGGCCTTCGACGGGCAGCGTTGACCGCGAAGTAATTTGGAAACTACTCGAGTACTACGGCCTACCCCAAATATTCATCAACCTTATTCAACAGCTGTACGACAACGGCACATGTCAAGTCATCCACAACGGAAAAATCAGCGAGGCGTTTGGAGTAAATACAAGAGTCAGACAACGGTGCTTATTATCACCAATTATTGATATTCCTAATTGTGATGGACTGGATTATGCGTCAGACAGTAGGAAACGAGAAGACAGGGATATCCTGTCTGGACCGACGTGAAGAACCTAGAAGACCTGGATTTCGCGCGTGGATGATTTATCTTTGATGTCACACAAAATCGGAAATGCACTAGGGAAAACCGACTGACAAACTGGTCGAAGAAGCAGCCGGCGAAGACATAACTCCAAGTGAACATAGACAAGACGGAGGTTATGAAAATAACCAACCAACAACAGCAGCAACACCCAGCGCCAATCACCATCAACGGGAGGGATTTGAAAGAGGTCACTTCATTCACTTATCTAGGGAGCATTGTCTCAACTAAAGGCAGTCGGAACGGACGAGGATGTCAAATCGAGAATCGGGAAGGCGAGAAACACATTCATCAACCTGAAATCAATATGGAAATCTTCGTCACTCAGCACCAACAACAAAATTCAGTCGGATTTTCAATACAAACAACGTAAAGTCAGTTCTTCTATACGGATGAGAAACTTGGCGGGCGGGCCATAAAGAATATTTCCAACAGCTTGTTGCAGACCTTTATCAACCACTAACTGTCTTCGCTCTTCACTGAAGATCAGATGGCCAGGTCGTTCATTTGCTCGCCCTACCAAGTGTATAGTGCGCTGAATGTAAGTGGTATCATTTCACCACTATACATTAAAGTATAACCATTGCATAGTACATAAGCGAGGTGGCTAACTGGGTAAAATGCCTGAGTTTCACCCACTGGACTTATGGTTTATATCTTGCTTCCACACACAGTGTTTGACTCATAATTGGGGATTTGAAAATTCTCTTCTAGGTATCTTCTCTTATTCTCTTTACGTCTTGAGTGATTTCAGGCTACATCTGTGAAGTCTCGGCACCACTGACTTTATTTTTGCAGAGTGAGCTTGCTAAACCTCACCCCGCCAACCACTCCTCTTTACTGGTGTTACCACCGGCTTAGCGAGGTATAGGCATGCATCAGCGGGGGATGGAACTCCGGAGCACATGGGTGGCTGATGGGCACTCTGCTGCTGAACCACAGACGAATTGTTTTTGGTGGCTAACTTCTAACCCTTGTCCAGTACGCCATATTCTTAAAAAGTAACTAGAAATCTCATCTCAAATGGCACAACTTTAAGTGAAGCGTACAAGATAGAGATAGCCGAGTTTATAGCTGAAGAAAATGAGTGAGCTTCAATGGAGTGAGATAATTCTGTGAACTATTGGTAGAAAACTTGTACAACTACCTTTCCCATCAGTGCGTAATCTGAAGGTTACTTTGGTTGTCAACAAACGAATACAAAAAAACCCGAACTAAACGCAAGATGGCTGAGAGTAATCAACAAAAGCCCTCGACCTTGACTTCGTGCTTGTTGGCACTACTCAGCGAAGCTGCAACCATCAAAGGACTGATGTCTCCTCTAATATTCGAAACGACGCCCCCTAGTACTACAGTTTGTTATTTCCCGCTGAGTAATAAACATACTGAAGGAACGTATTTGTCAATGAGGAGAGTAACACTCCAACCATATTTAAATATATTCACTCCACTACGTAAATATATTCATCCGTTTTTCATTTTAACAACGATTACCTCAAATTATCTGCTGACCTTTTGGAGAAATCCAGGAAAACAAGTGGACAGTAGCCACTTAGTTAAACCTTATACAGCTATCGTGCACGTATGGTCCTACAAACATACACGTATTGAGTTGATGCATAAGCCTGTCAGATTAGAATTTAGTTATGGACAACATTCATAGATTGTTTTAATTCTATCCTGATATGACCAGGCGTTCATAGTCTACAGAAAGAAGCAACACTTTTCCTGAAGGACAAGTAGACGGAGAATATTAATTTATGGTGAATACCAACGAGTGGGTGGATGCCAGCCGTTTACCTAGACGAGAAGGATACAGTGACTCTGAACCTGTCCTATACACGGGATCTAAACTAAATAAGTGGTGCATAAACCTATCTTCTTTATCGGAATTCATACGAAAGTGATCCTTCTCTTCAAACAGTTTACCTGGTTCATCTTAGAAAGTTGGTCAATGCCTCAGCTTTTATTTTATACAACGACACGCCAGCAACAATAACCAGTGTGGCTAACACTTTGAATTTCAAGATCCTTCCTGTTAGGAATATAACGTCGCTATTTTAACTACTGCATCTCTTCACCTACACCATTCGGTCTCGTTGTATGACACTTGTTAAGTGTTCATAATGAACCAAGTTGGTGTTTAGACAGAAACAATCACATCAGTTAAAATACTGTATCAATCGCCTACTATAAAACTCTGTTCACTGTACGTTTCTTCCACACAAACATAGGAATACACCTCAAAAATAGTATAGCAATTGTGAGATTACAAAAGAACAAATGAATGCTTGCAGATATCAAGTAAAGAAGGCTAAGTACAACTACGTATGAATACGGTGCTAAAAATGCACAGAAGTACCTGTTAAGAAATTATACAACCTATTTAACTCACTTTCTCGTGAACAGTTACTCAACAAAAGTGACAATGAAACAGAAGCTTTTGTCGATCGAAATATCAGTTTACAAACAACTCAGTGCCTACACCCCCACACAATAAGAGCTGCATGCACTTCCGATAAGCCTTAGTTACAACGAAAAAGGACTCCTAGAAACTGCAGAAAATGTGCACTGGTGTTCACATATCAGGCTATGCTGATCTTCAGTAGACGCCAAAACACTGCCTGCAAAACCACCAAAAATCGACACGAATGCCGTCACAATCCAACACACTAAATCGCCAAACCAGTGACTTGCTCATAAAGCAATCACCGTAACACGATTCTCCCCTCACTTTCATATAAAAATATCCGAGCATAACTAAATCTTTCATTGAATCAAGAAAAATATTTTTTTATTTTTGATTACAGCTTGATTCCACACCGTATTTTTGGTACAAGTATGGAATTTTCAGCATGGATATCGGTAGCCTAAATTTTTCAGCCCGACCATAGATATCAGGTGTGCATCGGTAGGGGATCGAACCTCGGACCATGTGCACGGTCGGCGAGAGTCCTAACCACTGTGCCACCGACGCACAGATTAATGAAAGTCTGTCGTCTTACAGCGTAGAATGTTCTGTGCCACTTGAAAATTAACCGTCAAGAATACTTTCCACAGTGATTTACTCTAGCATTCCGCGCCCCCCCCCCGACACCCTACTCTAAATCGAAACTCATAGTGACTGCTCTGTTAACTAAAGATCCTATTTAAGCATATGCAACACCGCGCCAAATGATATGCCATCAGATGCAAAAGATGACAACAACAAAAATCAACAAACAAGTTAGTAAATACTTCATAAATTGTTTCTTTTGTGATACATACATACATATCATCAGCGTTTGAGATCCAAAAAAAAGAAACAAGTGAGCGCCTTTAATAATAAAAAAAAGTGGAGACAATATGGATAAATTATGTTGATCATGATCTCAAAGCAAACTGGAATACAATAGAGAAAGTATACATTATACCCTTTTCTCTTACTTTGAGATAAAAAAAAAGTTTTCTATACACAGAAAATGAGCATTATGATGGATTTATAATTTATAGTTATGTAGTTGGTCTTTTCAAGAAAAGATAAAAGCGATCAAAATGAAACAGGCAAAAAATGATGAACCAGATATGAAAAAGGTGATTTACTCACTTACCCTACAACTTCACTTACCACACTAAACTACACATGTATTACTACTCAGAAAAGACTGAAGAAGGAGAAATTCTGAGCAATAACAAACAAACGAAACAAACATCGCGTGTACCAGTAGTCAATTGTCTCTAAATTGAGGTGAATTTTTTTATTATTAAGAAAACATCTCACTGTAGAAATGAAACACTATAAACACACACACATATGCGCAGATAAAGTGTATGCCCACAGAAAGGAGAGCTAATAATAATAGTGATAATAGTAATAATAATAATGCACAATTGTTTAGATTATAAATATATATATATATACCTGATTATATGTGGGCAAATGATGATAATCGGCGAGATTTATGTGTATATGCTGTTTTAAGTGTTGAATGAACACAACACGCGCAGTTGTGATTTCTCAAGTAAATATACAAATTAATTCCAAAATTGCAAAGTGACAGCGCATCTTACAGTCAATCATACATAAAAAAACACTATCAAGGTTTGAGTGTATATATGTGAAAACATGAAATAAAAAAACGGGAAAAGCTTCAAATTCAGTGGATAAGTACAGGTATAATAAAGTAGGCACCAAGAAGACTCTCTCTAGATTGATAAAGTAAGTACACACACATCTATCACAATCGTGAAAAAAAGAGAAATATCAAGGAGAGAAGAAAACAATAACAAGAATTTTAAAAAAAAGGGAAGTGAGTGAGTAATATAAATAGGGCATGGTTTCTCTGCAAAATATCACGATTTTTTTTTCTTTCTCTCTTACTTTAGAAATCATTATTGCAAACAAGAACCAAAATCTAATTTTAACTGATTAACAATAGACGTATCCAAGTCATCATCCTCTTCATCTTCTGAAAATGTTGGCACATGAAAAACGCCAAGACCTGAAACATCCAATTGAGGAAGAGGTGCCCACATTGAAATATTTCCAAGTTCAGGTAGTTCTATGTTTCTATCATCTATTATTCTATGACATGAATTATTATTACTATGAGTTGAAAATGCATCTGTTGAATTAAGTATGCCTCCACCACCATTGGTAGTAGTAGTAGTAGAATAAACATTGGATAATGAAGCAGGCAGTGGATTTAACTGAGATGACATAATAAAAGTATCTGGTAGTAAATCAGACAGTAAAGGTAAACTTTGTTTGTCAGTCATTTGATTAGTTGTAGTACCTGAAGACGGGATTTCTAAGGAAGAAGAAAGAGTTGTCATAGACGACCACTGACTGTCGGTACTTGGAGGTGCTGATATCTGTCCAGTTGATGATGATGACTGAGATTTATTTTGTGGGGACATATTGGATAACTGCGACGAATCTATATTCTCATTGGGAATATAAGTCCCATTTACAATTTGCTTAGCAAGACGTACAGCTTCTGCATAACCTTTTACCCTGGTTCTTGGATTATAAAGTTTATCGAAGGACTCCTTAAAAGGATACAACTTAGCACAACTTAAATATGAACACTGATCCCAAGCTAACCAATCAACACGAGCAGTGTAACCAGTTGCTAAACTTGGATCTGAAGGAGTCTGAAGAACAGCCAAAGATGATGTATTGTTATCTACAGACTGCGATGTATTAAGTAAAGTGGCCTGAGAAAGTTGATGGGCAGTACGAGCCCAAATAGCACTAATCTGTGATGGCCAATAAGGATAACCAGCAAGTTTTGCCCATACAATATCACCCACGCGTAAACCGCCTGACACCAAACTGAAGGTAGGGGAAGTAGAACTACTGGCAGCTCCTCGAACTCGTCTGCTAAGGTCTCCTCCTGGAGCATCTGCGTCACACCATGATTCCACTATGCGAAAAGTTGCTGGGGCTGTCTTACTTTTAGCGCGTTTTCCTTTGCCAATACTGAAATCTACAGCTGAATCCCTACGAAGCCGGATCTTTAGTCCACTAGAAACAAAAGCCGATGAAGATGGCAAGCTCTTTGAATATACAGATGTATAGCCAGAATATTCTTGATTCGATGTTTCTGTCACAGCCAAAGTAGGAGATTCAGATAGACAACTGTCTGTTGGTACATTAGGGCTTGGGACTGAATGGAAAGGCGAAAATTCATTAGCAGACTTTCGTTTAGATTTCCGACTATTTCGAGCTTGAGGTTGCCTATTTCTACGAGTATGAGACTGCTTCTCACTCGACAACTGTGAGTTACTAGCATCCGGTACTGAGGAAGTATTACTAGGGCCTAGTTCAAATTTGTTTTCAGAAAATTTTCCCATGGTTCGCTTCTTGGGAGCTGATTTGGCACTCACTTTGATTTTTACAACATTCGAGTTTATTTCACATGTTAGTGGTACACATTTTTCAGTTTTATTTTCAATAAAATTTGGACTTGTACACGTGCTAGTAACTTCAGATGCATTTAGACCAATAAGTGGGGAATTATGGCTACACAAACTGCTGCTTGTATTAGTACAAGATGATAAGGCTGCCGAAAGACCCTGGACACTGCCAGATGTAGACGGTGATCCCATGTTGTATATTAGATTATTTGGTGATGGACATCTCATATGATTAGCTGCGACAGGATTGAGACTTTCTTGGCTAGTACAACAATCGATTTCAAAGTCTAACGTTGTCGCCGCCAGAGGAGAACTACTTGGCTTTATATTTGTCAGGGCTTGGTCTTTAGCCATCCACATATGTTTCGGTTTCTGATACCCACGCGTACGAGGACCATAGAGATCTTCTCCTTCTTGAAATTCGTAAACATTTACACCGTAACAATCTGTTGAATCTGACTCCAACGTGTTTGACTGTGTGAATTCAGATGATAAATTTTCATTAGACAGTTGCAGTGGTTTCATGAAAAAGTTGACGCCTACAAAATAGCGTGTATGTATCATTTGATTAATACAAATTGTAAATATTAACAGGCTTAATCGACTAACAATTAGGTCGGAATTGTGTACATGAGTAACACAAATCATACAAAAAGCCGAAGGTTTGCCAACACTTCTGTTTGAGAATAAGTTACTACTTTATAAGACAATAAATACAGATTTTAGTAGGTAAGAAATTAAACAAATAACCCAGACTTATCAGCCATATATACTTCTCTAGGAAGCTATGAACCACACCATCTTTTGGATGACATGCCGTAACAACTTAAGAGGCAATTCACATTTCGAATCATTATGCAAACGGCTGGAAAAAACTTGCAGCTATGTGGAATGTGTGAAATTTACACAACTCGTGTGTAGTAATAACATAATTATGCTTCTTAAATTTTACAGAACTGGATATACTTCTTTTTTACCTGATAATGGCAATTCCACAGACAAATGAGACCTACAAACCTCTGTGATCACCTACTAAATTCGAATTGTGAAAAATAAGTGAGAAAAGGACGCGATGAATGTAAGCATATTATTTTTGTCATAACGCCTTACTACATTAACATTTCACTGGAATACTTTTTTTCGTTTAGATCAGACTAATGTACTAGACTATTAGCGACTACTGATTATACAACTTGGTTGAAATCAGCTGCATGAACGACACGAACATGTGACCAAGTGAACAGAAGTCGAAACTCTATGTCAAGGAGGAACAAGTCCATTGAATTATGAATTAACAATTCTACAACGATGAAAATCTACGGACCCTCTCCTTCCAGACGTAGCAAGTTATCTGGAACTTACAAGCTTAAGCATACTGTAGTAAACTGAATAATCTTCTGTCTGGATCTTACAAATTCGAGACAAATACCCCAATGTCCATAAACTACCAACAGTGCAGTTATATTACTAACTTACTTTACTTCGGCTATCTCCTACGGGGGATGAGCCGGCTTCATGAACGTCTCGAATCATCGCTGCCCAGGCGCGGCAATTTGTAAGAGAGTTCATGAAGTGCTTTAGACTTTAGATACTATATTAGTCAAGCTAATCCCTCTATGATTATCACAGGAAGACTTGTCTCCCTTCTTGTATACGGGGATAATCAGTGACTTACACCAACCCGATGGGACTTCTTCTGATTCCCAGACTCTGTCTAGTACCTCAGTTAATCCAGACAGTAAGCTGTCTCCACCGTACTTAAATACCTCTGGAGTCATTCCATCAGGTCCCGCTGCTTTGCCTAGTTTCAGATTGGTGACAGCTTTAGTAACCTCAGTTAGTGACGGAGGACCTGTGTCTATATCCCATTCAGGGAGGTGTTGGATGCTCGGAAGGTTGAGCGTGGCTGTGGGCAAATTAAACTGCTCCTCATAATGCTCTTTCCAACGATCCAGTCGTCTATCCTGTGAGCTAATTATAGTGCCATTTTTTTCCGAGATTGTCTCACTGATGATTTGTCTTCTCCCACCCGTTTCCCTGATGAGTCTAAAGAGTTGCCTGGTGTTGCCTATCCTCGAAGCTTTCTCCAGCTAATACAAACCTCAACATCTTCAAAAAATGTGTGACTTTCTTCGAGTATACATTTCTAACATTTATTTAAGCATTTCTCACTGTGCTCACATATCCAGTTATGTTTGGTAATCATTCTGATATGCGACTATGTCACGATTCGGTTTGTGAATTGAAAACCATGTGACCGAATAGATGTCTACCTGACTAAATGTAAATCCCCACGTGTTCTTCACTATTGTAGTGCAGAAACATGGGTAGTTTAGAAATAGCTCTTATGAGGTGAGAAACAGATTTTTCTTAGCATGACATTGTTACCTTAAAGAAAATGTCATTGCATACAAATGTGAGCATCCTGGCACATCACCAATACCAACACAAATCCTGAAAAATTGCCTAAGCAATACAAAGCGGACTTATTGTCCAACAACATTTAAAATCAACGGAGATGTTTCTCTATTAGTCATATCCTGACTTGTCTATGAAGACGGTAATTCTCCATGTGCAACACAAAGAGGTAGGTGGTGGGAAGCATAACGCGCTATCTCATGAGTTTTATGTAGCAGTTCCCAATCACTAGTAGCGTTCTGTGCAGTAAGATCAAGAACAATTCCCTAGCGCTATGGAATGGAATTTCAAGAGAAACTAGTTAATCTACACCAACTTTTCGCTACGATATCATTTACGGAGTAAATATGCAAATCTCAGCATACAGTGAAGTTGTTTGCTATGATCTGGGTTATTACACATGATCAGCTTCGGTTGAGTATTTTCGAAACTCCATACGTCGTTACCTCTGCTGTGCTCTTTCAGAGCCACAAGACTTTAAGTAAAAAAGTGAGATCTTTTGGATACATCACTTGTAGTATCCTTACAAGTCAATTACATATATACTTAGTCTGTACTTAATTCACAGTTACCATTTTCACCGACATGTAACATTTAGTATTTTGCCTGTCATCCTTTAAATGACTAGGGAGAAACAATTCACCTAAACCCAATCCTGCAGCTCAACCGCAATGATATTAACTACTGGGGAATCTGAAATCACTGTAGTCTGTGATACTTTTAGAAATAGAACTAAGTAGTAGTACCATAGTAGTACCTCCAGGCACTTGCCCTATTCTATTCACATCAAATTCCATCAAATTTAGGGAGGAATGGATAGAATTCCATTGAAACATACCGCCTTCTGGAGATACACTGGCAGAGTCCTGTAGAAAAATAAAGTGGACAAATAACCAAGTAATCGAAGTTAAGATTTTAAAAATTATAATTGTCCACCAAACAGTAAAATTTCCAAGCTCACATCATATAAGTTACCTCAGTAAAAAGTGACTGCCGGGGAAGTTATGAAGCAATCACTTCCAAGGCAGAAGTCACATTAGCCGATATTTTTTCCGAAATTGCAAATCGTGAGTTTATAATTCCACTTGATATATAGTCCCAACAATACCACCAAAACTTCGAACACTCAAAAAGTAGAAAACATTAAGAGCGCCTACGTACGCCGGCTAATCAGACAAACAACTTACTGAATTTACACCATGCCACTGATGCCTAAGGGGTCAATCGTATTAAGACTTATAAGAATGATATGTGGAAAAATCTTTCATAATATTGTCAAATAAGTCGACCAACAATACGCGCGTCTTTGATGAGAATTGTGGAGTCTGAAACAATATGGTTGCACAGTTTTTTGTCAGATTTTAAAAATGGAAACATTGTACATAACTTCTATTCAATACGTTTAATCGTAGAGCAGACATAAATTCTGAGTGAAATTAAAAGTACAACGTGTTTTCTCACTAATCCAAACTGTCTATTTGCTTTACAACTAACCGTGTTGTATCCTTTGGAGTTTGCCGGAACCTCTCATCTTCATTCGAAAACTATTCTACAACCAGTGCGCAGCTTCTGTTAGTAGATACGACGCTAGCAGTTGGTGATTCTGGAGATTACATCAATAAGATGTAGCAGCGAACTTCAACTGTATCACCAAGTAACCATTAACTTCTATAAACCACTGTATTTTTTATAACATACTGTTACAGCATTATTTCATAAAAGTAGGTATTTATTCTGATATTTTGTATAGTTACCGGGCTCACTATTAAATTCCCTACAGTGTTACTGGTTAGCATTCTTTCAGTATACCTATACAGTTTGGAAACGATAAATATTGGGGACCAGTGCGCTACGTTTGCTTACTTATATAAAACCCTTATTTCTCTGACGTTTCTGACCAAGAATTTGTGGAATTTATTGTAGTTCGTTCAACTTCGAACATTGAATCTGTGAATATAATGTTGTTCACTGATAATACCTATAAATAACTCTTTGGCATTCTGCGACAGTTTAAAACTAGAGAAACTACAACACACGGAATATATTAAAATTAAATAAGTTCAAATAAGAATCTTGTTCTTCGCTCTAATCGGAGAGGTGTAATGACAAAGGCTGGTGAAGGCCTTCAGAGGGCCAGTCAGCTAACAGATATGTCTTCTCTCGATGAAAGCGAGAGTAAGAATGGGTACGTGGAATGTCCGTACAATGTACAAGATTGATAAGGCTATACATGTGGCAAAAGAGATGTGAAGACAAGGCATAGAAGTGCTGGGCATCTGCGAAAGCAGATGGAATGGCTGTGGGCCGATAACATGGTTAACGGGAGAGGTAGTAATCTACTCCGGTTACCCAGACGACAATCACCAGCACACTGAGGCAATGAATGGCAATCATGATGTCAACAGCGGCAGCCAAGGCTCTAGTGCAGTGCGAACCAATCTCACCCTGGATCATGACAGCAAGATTCAAATCAAAAAGCATAAAGGGAGCTCACAATTATCCACTGCTACGCTCCTACAAACAAGGCGGAACAAGAGAAGAAGGAAGACGCTTACATACAACTACAAACAGTTATGGACAACATCCCAAATGTTGACATCAAAATCCTTGTGGGCGGTATGAATGCCAAACTGGGAACAGATAATACAGGAAGAGAACTCATCATGGGTTGAGAGGCTCTGGCTCGGAGAGATGAATAAGAACGGAGAACTCTTCGCAGACTTCTGCTCTTTCAACGATTTGGTGATCGGAGGAAGCGCATACGAGCACAAGGATATACACAAAACGACAAGATTTCGCCTGATGGACACACCACAAACCAGACAGGTTTCATCTAAATACTGCTCAAGGAAGTGAAGACACAGCCTGCTAAGTACAAAGTCGAGAATGGGGAAGAGTGTTGGCTAAGGCCATCATCGAGTTCAAGGAACCTCCAAGGTGAACCTGGAATCCTCCAGAACAGCTGGAGACAGGCCACTGTAATTCAAATTCAACACTCAGAAACTGAGGGACAAAACAACCAGCGATGTCTACAGTTTAGATCCAACCACAGCGAAGTAGGAGATACTACGCAGCTTCGCTGATGGAAAATTGGAATTCTCTAAAAG